GTAAGCCATCTCTACTTCGTTAGGTAAAGCAGCAGCTACAAAATCTGGGAAATATGTAATAAACAAAAAAGTGTGAAATAACTCAAAATGTGTTTTACATTTTCTCCAAAATAGCCACCCTTTGCTTTGATTACTGCTTTGCACACTCTTGGGATTCTCTCAATGGGCTTCATGAGGTCGTCACCTGAAATGGAGTTCCCAGAGATGCTGGGCTTGAGCTTGAGATGCTGAGCCACTTGTTGGCCCCTTTTGCCTTCACTCTGCGGTCCATCTCATCCCAAACCATCTCATGACTGTGGAGACAGGACTCCATCACTCTCCTTCTCAGTCAAATAGCCCTTACACAGCCTGAAGGTGTGTTTGGGGTCATTGTCCTGTTGAAAAATAAATCATGGTCCAACTAAAAGCAAACTGGATGGGACAGCATGTCGCTGCAGGATGCTGTGGTAGCCATGCTGTTTCAGTGTGCCTTCAATTTTGAATAAATCCCCAACAGTGTCACCAGCACACCTCCTCCTCCATGCTTGGAGGCGGGAGCTATGCATGTAGAGACCATCCATTCACCTTTTCTGTGTCACACAAAGACACAGCGGGTGGAACAAAAGCTCTCAAATTTGGACTCATCAGACCAAAGCACAGATTTCCACTGGTCTAGTGTCCATTCCTTGTGTTTCTTGGCCCAAATAAATCTTTCCTGCCTGTTGCTTTTCCTTAGTCGTGGTTTCTCAGCAGTTATTTGACCATAAAGGCCTGATTCACACAGTCTCCTCTAAGCAGTTGATGTTGAGCTGTGTCTGCTACTGGAACTCTGTGTGGCATTTACCTGGGCTCTAATCTGAGGTGCTGTTAACTTGGGATTTCTGAAGCTGGTGACTCGGATGAATTTATCCTCAGCAGCAGAGGTCTTGGTCTTGGTCTGCATTTCCTGGGCCTGTCCTCATGTGAGCCAGTTTCATCGTAGCACTTGATGGTTTTTGTGACTGCACTTGGCGACACATTCAAAGTTTTAGCAATTTTCTGGATTGACTGACCTTCAGTTTTTAAAATAACAATGGACTGTCGTTTCTCTTACCTAGCTGATTTGTTCTTGCCATAATATGACAGTATAACAGTTGTCAAATAGGGCTGTCAGCTGTGTACCAACCTGACTTCTGTACAACACAGCTGATGGTCTCAACCCCATTAAAAATGGCAAGAAATTCCACAAATGACCCTGACAAGGCACACGCGTGAAGTGAAAACCATTCATGATGCACACTGAGAGAAGGCCAAGGGTTTGTAGTGCTGTCAACAAAGAGTGGCTAATTTGAGTAATCCAAATATGTCATAAGACATGTTTTGTCACAGCTGCGGCAGCAGTCGTGTGGTGTTTGTAAAGGAGGACCCAAGATGCAGACCAAGGGAGGGATGGGCGTGAGCTTTTATTTACAGTGGATGATGACAAACAGAGGCAAGGATGACGAGTAAGGAACTAAGAAATAACCTAGACTGAAAACTAGAAAACAAACCTGAACCTATAATGTTTGGGGAGAAACATGGGATGGAGGATGGAGGATGGAG